GGGCCTCTCACTGCTGCGGCCTCTCCCGTCGCGGAGCACAGGCTCCGGACGCGCAGGCTCAGCGGCCATGGCTCACGGGCCCAGCCGCTCCGCGGCACGTGGGATCCTCCCAGACCGGGGCACGAACCCGCGTCCCCTGCATCGGCAGGCGGACTCTCAACCACTGCGCCACCAGGGAAGCCCTCCACGACTCTTAAGCTCAGGCTCCCGCCACTGTGTGTGCTGCTAGGGAGGGGAGAGAGCTGAGCTGGGGGCTCCAGGCCCCGCGCCAGATCTGGAGGGGAGGCAGGCGCCTCCCACCCGCATCCCAGAGCAAGTTCTGCCAGCTCCAGCCATCCGACTCACCTGGGAGGTTGGTCCACGGGGATACGGTAGGACGGGGAGAAAGTCACACACACTCCGCACTTTACCCTGGACTGGGGGAGGAGACTCTGGCCAGCAGTAGCTCCCACCTGGCGGCTCCCTGAAACACAATAAGGACGCAGTATTCCTGCTTATGTCACTCTGAGCATAAGGGAAGTCATCTTGAAAATCAGCCCAGTGCCCTGCCACTGTGTCTCAACAACAGGTGACACGCAAGCTAGAACTCCGCAGCGTTTTTTCAAAACCATCTCCAGGCTGGAAGTTCCTCTTCAAGTCTAACTGAAGTAAGCAGTGTTGCAGTCTACCTTCACCTCTTCATTTCCTGCGTGGAGCTTTTAGTGCATGAGTTTGTGTGTAACCTATAATGTAACCCTGTGAAATCCACATGTTTTAGGTAGGGGAAGAATAAGAAAGGTGCAAGCCCTGTTCCAGGAAGCTGGAAGAGCCAGAACGTCTTGTGTGGGTAAGAGAAGCTCGGTTTCCTACAGCCAGGGCCTGGGCAGCCTGTGCATTCTGCCCAGAGAGCAGGTGGTGGGCTTAGCAGGAGGTCATGCGACATCACACAGGGCACAAAGAGTGAGACCAGTGAGGGCACCGGAGTCCGCCCGCCAAGAGGAGGCATCAGGGAAGCGCGGGCACTTCGCGGAGAGCTAGGGAGGGGCCCACAGGGAGAGCCAGCTGGAAAGAGAGGACGGATGCGAGGGGAGAGAGAGGCCGGTGAGCACTGAGTTCAGGTGCAGGGAGGGGAACGGAGAGACGCGACAGATACAGGAAGATGGAGGTAAAAAGAGGACGAGAGAGACGCTCAGAAAAAGACAGAAGCAGAGACGGAGATGAGTAACGGCTGGGAGAGCCGGAGAGGAGACCGGGCCTGGTGGGGGTGGGGGTGGTCCCGCTTGGGGAGAAAGGGGTGGGGAGGGAGCAGGAAGGCGTTGAAGGAGCATCCTCCCCGTTGTCTGCCAATCAAGGAGCTCAGAATCCGCTTCCCCCACCTCCCCTGCCGCCCCGCCCGAGCCCAGAGGCTCTCCCTCCCAGCGCCGCCCCCTAGGGACTGGCTGTGCAGCCCCGATAGATGGTGGGGGGCCCAGCTGGCGTGTTATCAGCCTTCTCCAGGAGCCAGCCCGAGCCACTCAGCGGCTGCCAGTCTGCGATTAGGCCCCCGGAGGGTCATTAAGCACCGCCTTGGCCCGGGCCCAGCCTCCTTTCCCTCCCTCCTCTGGCCAGGCTGGCAGGTGGGAACTGGCGATAAGGACTGGGGGCTCGGGCAGTTCTGGAGTCGGCAGCTCCATGCCCCCTGCCCCCTGTCAGGGCAGGAACATGGGGTTGGAGGGAAGGTCAGTGCTAGCCCAGCACAGCAAGGACCCCAGGATGGAGTTCCCACCATCCTGGTCCTGCCCGTGGGGAGGGGCTGAGGAGGATCCTGGAGAGGCCCAGGCAGCCTGCTGGGGATTCTGCCTCCCCGACCCGACCCCAGCTCCCCACTCCCCCACCCTCAGCGCCAGGGCAGGACAGCAGCTGCCACAGCCCCTGCTGGTAAAACCTCACGAGTGTGAGGGGCTGGAGGGAAAACAGAGGGATGGTATCTCTGTCTTCAGGCCCTGGCAGGCCAGTGAGGGGTCAGACTGGAACCCCCAGGGACAACAAGGGGCAGAGGTGGGAGGGAATGTAGCTTCATGCAAGGAGGATCAGATCCAAGGCAGCCAAAGGCTGGTCAGCTGACTCCGCCCTCTGGTCTAACCAAGGAAGACTTCCTAGAGGAAGAGGAACATACGCAGGGCCAAGGAAAAGGAATATGCAGAGTTTCAACTGGCAGCGATGGGTGAAAAGGCATCCAGCCATGTGCACAAAAGCCTAGAGTGGGAATCACAAGAGCTCCAGCCACAATTCACTGAGCTGAAGCCCAGAGAGGGGAGGCAAGTCACACAGCAGGGCAAAGACCCAGCCAGCTCTCTGCTCGGGGACCTTCCCTCTGCTGCAGGCTGCAAACTAGACCCCAGTGAGGTGAGAAGGATAATTCGGATTTCAGATGGGTCTCCCCAGGGATATTTGGGTGAAGCCCTGGAACAGCAAAGGAGCAGCTCTAACGGAGAAACGAGGGGCTGTGACAGGTTGGGACAGGCGACAGAGGGAGACCGTTGGGACAAGGTGGGCTGCCTCCTGCCTTCCAGCCCCTCTCCTCTGGATCCGGGAGTGCTCCTGGGGAAGCCAGCCTCCAGTTGTCACCCCAGACAGAGAGACAGAGGCTGTTCCCATAAGAATGACAGTCACAGAGGTGAGGGTCCTCCAGGGTCAGCCAGCCCGGCTGAGTCAAGCCTTCCGTGTCCTCTCCCTCCTGCCTCAATCCCCCGGGGGCCCAGTTCCTTGGCCCTGGTCCCCCCCAGGACTGGGAGTCCGTGGCATTAGGGAGGATGATTCTACTCGAGCTCTGTGGTGAGACTGGCCAAATCCTCCACAGAGGGTTAGCAGAGCCCAGAGGGGACAGTGACTCTCCAAAGTCACACAGCAAGTCAGCAGAGGACCGCAGACTGCAATCTGGGCTTCCTGAGTCCTAGCCCGAGACTCTTTCCTGGGGTTTCCTATGCCCAAAGCCCAGCCCAGAAGGGCTATGGGCAGGAGGACAGAGCTGGATGGATGAGAGATGAGTGAGCCCACTTCAGTGCCCGGCAGCAGGGAGACAGGTGGTCAGGATGCTGGTGCTGCATGAAGACCCCAGAATCGCCCAGAACTGTAGTTGTGAAAGGCAGGTCAAGAGAGGGGGGACTTGTAGGAGGGTCTCTGCCTGGAGTAAGGGGTATGCTCCCTGGCCCCAGGGCTTCTCCCAGAGAGGGCTTCCTGGGAAATCCTCCAGAATCACCATGACAGAGGCTTTGGAAGATGATTCCAGAAAGCAAGATCAGGCCTCGCTGGTAGACTGAGGAGCTATTTCTGAGCCCTGGAAGCCTCAGACCCAGAAGTACAAAACGTCTTTATTTCACAGAAGTGAGAGCCATTTCCACCGTTGGAGGGAGGGAGATGTGAGGCAGGATGGGAGGTGCTGAGCTGATTGTCCGTTTCAGAAGGGTATTCTGAACTGAATTGAGTGGGAGGCCCTCTAGGACCCCAGAGCCACGGCTGAGCCCCAACCTGGACATAGTCTGAGCCCTGAGCTTGGCTGGAGGGTGGGGCAGGTGTGAGAGCTGGAGGAGTCAGCCCCTTACTGCAGATTCCTGTACAGAGAAGGAGGGGCCTGGACGTCGGGCACAAGGAAGCAGGGGTCACATTGGGGTGCTGCGGACCTTGCCCTCCTCCTCCGGGTTGTTCTCATAGGCATTCTCATGCTCACTGGACCTGAAAGAGGATGACAGGGGTCATTGCTCCTTCTGTCCCATCCCCTTCTCCCTGCCCCTTCCTGCATTTGTGAGGGCAGTGTCTTCCAGAATAAATGTCTGAGCCCCAGAAGGGGGTTCCCCTGACCACATCTGGTCTTTTGCACCTGAGACCTGAGGCCTCTCACCACCACCCCTGAACCCCTTCTCTCTCTTCCACCTAGCCCCTCCCCCACTGGGCCCCCATTGAACCCACCTCCCCACTGACCTCCCTCCCCTACAGATCCTCCCCCCACACACTGAGTCTCCCAACTCAAGCCTTCAGAGTCCCCTTCCCGCGCTGAGCTTCTCTTCCCCACCGCACCCCTAAGAGTCCCAACCCACCCCCTGAGCCCCTCCCCCCACCAAGTCACCATCACCTTACTGAACCCTCTCCCCAAACTGAGGCTGCATGTCCCCACGGAGCCCTGCAGTGCTCTCAAAGCCCGCATCGCTCACCATCTCCCCACATGGAACCCCCTCTCTTCACTGAGCCCTTCCCCATATGAGCCCCCATCCTCTGAGCCCTCTCCCCTTCAGAAGCACCTGGTCCTGAGGTCCCCAGGGGACCCTGGAGCACAGGGTGGCCAGCCCTATACTAGCATCTCACCTGAAACTGGCCTCAATCGAGGAGTACTTGCCGTCCGTTCCTACCAGGATCCCATCTGCTTTGTTTCCAATGGTCATGACCATGTTCACAGGCTCCCTGGGGAAAGAGCTCATCATTAGGGCTCTCTGGGTCCCCTCTCCCTCTGTCCCCCCTCCTCCCTCTAGTCCAGTCAGGCCCTATTCTATAGGCTCTAAGGCAGAAGCTCCTCTCTCCAGCGGGGCCCTGTCAGCAGCCTGATTCTGGCCATGGGGCCGCACACCTTTCTCCCTGCTCCACCGTGGGGCCCTCAGGTCCCAGCCTGAGATCTACTAAAGATGTACCCCAGGCCTTGCACCGGCCACCTCCTGGCCTCCCTCTGCTGTTTTCCTCTGGCCTCAGCTCAGCTCCAGGGCAGACCCAGCAGGACTCAGTGTCTGCCCTAGATTTCCACAAGGTTCTCCTCGGCGGTAGGAGCGGTCACTGACGGCAGAGCTGGGGCCAGTGGAGAAAAGAAATATTTCCCACAAAAATCTCCTCGCCTCTTACTCAAGTGTGTCCTCTGTCCCCAGCTCCCCAGACACCACTCTTATGAGGGTTACGGGGACCCTAACCACCGTTCATCTTTCCTCGGACATCCCATGGGCACCTCAGACTTAATATGTCCCAAACTGCCCCAGATCGGCCTCTTGTGGTCTGTGTCTCAGTGGGTGGTCCCATCAGAAGGCTGGATGTTATCCCTGTCCTTCCTCCCTCCTGTCCTCAGTGTCCCCACCCCCTCCTAGAAAGCTCTTAAACCTGTACTCTCTCTCTATCTGCTCTGCCGCCTCCACAGCTCAGACTCTCTCCTGACCTCACCCTCATTGCTCACCTCGTCTGCAGACTGGCCCAAAGCATCCACCACGGGGCCGCCAGTGATTCTGATCCGGCCACATCTCATCCCAAGACTGGCTTACACACTTGCACTGGATTCCTACTGCACTAAGGATAAAGCCCAAAGTTCAGGGCTTTGGTGCCCAAGGGTCTGCTTGGCCTGGGCCCTGCCGACCTCAGCAGTCTATCTCGGGCCTCTCCATCCACGAGCTGCTTCTGTTCCCTCAGTGGGTCCTACACTGCTGCTGGTACCCAGGCACCAGGCCGCCGGTGTGAGAGCTGGGGGGCAGATGCAGCCTTGCCCCAGAGTCAGCAGGTGCGGAGTGCGCTGGATTTCAGCCCAACCCCTTCCACCTTTGCGCTCTGCTCCGAACTCAGGACCCCCAGTGACTCTTCCCTCAACGGCAGTGCTCTCCCACCCCACTCTGTGCTGTGACTGGCTCCTGCCTGGGCTTCAGGATAAACATACAGTAGGAAGACTTCTCTGACCACACCCTCGCCCCCCCCCCC